CTACTGTAAAATCACAAACATACGAAACGAACGATCACACACACCAAAAATTTAAGCCAAATTATTAGGTCAAACATAAACAATCAGAAAGTGAAGAAACCTGAGAGAGAGACGACTGCGAGAAAGGATTGAGCCGAAGATTTTTTTTTTTAAACCTTTAAATACAAAGACATCAGAAAACCCTAAATACTAATGGGCTTTAAAGGCCTAATTAGTTTATGGCGCACAAATATTTAGGCCATAAGGCAACAACGGTTATATGGGCTTATTTGTGTTTCTTTTTCGGCCCAATCGTTTGGAATACTAATTCATCCCTAAGAAATCGTTTTAAATTTTTAAAATTTATAAAGTATAAACGTGTTGTAATTAAAAACAATTAGAATGTTTTGCTTGAAATTTTAACCAAAAATATCTTAGTGCCGTGTATTTTTGTCAACTCAGAAGAAAACATCAGGAAATGCTAATTTTAAATTTAACTAAAAAGATTGGGTGTTTTCTTTTGGTTTCTAGAAATGGGGAAGACATGCATTTGTTGGAAGCACGTTGGTTCGGTATGGACATTCTCCACATGAATATTCTTAAGAACTATACAAGTTATAAAATATCATCATTGGTTAGAAAAATAATTAAAAAACTAAGTCAGAAATTATAAGTTTATTATCACTATGAAAATAAGAATACCGGTCTCCATATATGGAGAAAAAAAAAATGAAATTAATTAATAGAGCTCAAAACAAAGATAAAAACCACTTTAAACCGTAGTATTAAAAATTCATTCTTAATCATAAATTTTTTTGGTAACAATTTAACTACGTGGATATTCAAAAAGGATATTTCAAACAAATTAAAAACTTATTTGTTTGGATTTTTTTTTTCTAGAAATTGTAAAAAATTTAAAATTGTTTTCTTCGTTAAAATTTCTACATTTTACTCCTTCGCATTTTTTTCTAGGAAATTAACTCTTTAATGTATGAATTATCATTGGATTAAAATTCAAATAACAATGATAACTAATTTAGATAAGTATCTTTGCACTTTTAATTTTAATCTTTTTTTTAATTAGTATAACCTAGATTTATAGTCAAATAAAATTGAAGATAACAAGTTAGATGTAGAAGTCAAATTTTATTTCTAAGGAAAAAAGTGATATCGAGCGAATTTTTCATTTTTGCATAAAGTAGTAAAAAAAACTAAGTGCCATTCCCGCGAAAACCTCAGTCTCTTTCCTTTCTATGTCCTCCTCTCTCGCTCGCAACCGCTTCTGTGTGTAACGTTATATGGTTTTGATAAATCAGAAACAAACAAATGTAAATATGAAAAAATTTCAATTAAATTTTCTTTAGATTTTTTTTCTATTTTTAACAAATGTCGCCGATGTCGGAACCGTCGCCTGAAAACGATCGGGATCCGCAATCAACCACCGTATCTACCCCGACCTCCACCACCGCGAAACATCTGAAGAAGATCCCGGCGATTCCTTTCCGTCATTCGGAATCGCAGAAAGGAGAAGAAGGAGATGGTGATGAAACAGCGAAGGTTGACGAGGTCACGCCGAAATCAGCTACGGATTGTTCGACGAGCGACGATTTGCCGGAAATTCTTGCTCCTTCTTCGTTAGGTTTGAATCATATAAGAACGAAATCGTCTCCGGCGCCGTCTCCTTTAAGGTTTTCGTCGGCAACACCGTCGATTGAGGATGATAAAGACGCGAAGGAGAAACCTAGGGTTGGGGTTATTGATGCTCGTGCTGATGCTCGTGCTAGATGGCCGATTCCTCCTCATCAACCTGATCTGGGTATTTTTTTCCTTAAGCTCGATCTAAAGATTTATGAACATTTCAAACATCGAATTCGGAAAATTCCACTTGATCAGGATTGTAATTGATGATGACTCTGTTTCTTTAGGGAAAAAAGTTCAGTGGAGTCAATCAAAATCTCAAAGGGTGTCTACAAATACTAATCCAGGAGTAGAGGTGAATTGCTAAGCTCTTTGTATGGTTTTTTGTTTCAAATTGCTAAGCTTATTTGATGTTTGATGTGTAATTGGTTTCTTCTTCTTCTTGTAAATGCAGAGTACTCATGTAGGTCTTGCCAAAGAAACACATTCTCCACGGTTTCAGGCGATATTGCGTGTTACAAGTGGAAGGAAGAAGAAAGCTCATGACATTAAGAGCTTCTCTCATGAGCTCAATTCTAAAGGTGTGAGACCTTTCCCCGTGTGGAGATCTCGAGCAGTCGGTCACATGGAGGTTAGTATTCGATAGAGAGCGGGAGCTGATAACGCAAAGATAATGTTTTAGAATTCTTAGAAATCCATGTTCCTAAAAGCCAAAGAAATCCTAATTCGATGAGGAAAAGTTTATTCTTATCGACTCAAATCTAAACACCAACACCTAATCCTAATAGGATGTGTATCATGTGATTTTTGTAGGAGATTATGGCAGCAATCAGAACGAAGTTTGATAGACAAAAGGAAGATGTTGATGCTGATTTAGGAGTTTTTGCTGGCTACTTAGTGACCACTCTAGAGAGCACTCCAGAATCTAACAAAGAATTAAGAATGGGTTTGGAGGATCTGTTAGTTCAGGCTCGGCAATGTGCAACAATGCCAGCGGGTGAGTTTTGGGTGAAATGTGAAGGTATTGTTCAGAAACTAGATGATAAACGTCAGGAGCTACCAATGGGAGGCCTCAAGCAGGCGCATAATCGTCTTCTTTTTATCCTTACTCGTTGCAATAGGCTTGTGCAATTCCGTAAAGAGAGCGGTTATGTTGAAGAACACATTCTGGGAATGCACCAGCTAAGTGATCTCGGTGTTTATCCAGAACAGATGGTAGAAATCTCGCGACAACAGAACCTTATTCGAGAAAAGGAAATCCAAAAGATAAATGAAAAGCAAAATCTTGCTGGTAAACAAGATAATCTTGATCAGAACTCGAGTAGCGGAGCTGATGCGATGGAAGTAAATACTGCTAGAAGTACCGATTCAACTTCGAGCAATTTCCGGATGTCATCCTGGAAGAAGCTTCCATCTGCTGCCGAGAAAAACCGTAGTGTTAATAACACTCCCAAGGCTAAGGGGGAGAGCAAACAACAACCAAAAGTTTACGAAAGCGGTGAAAACTTGCATAGCCCATCAGGCCAGCCTACATCCGCAGACAGAAGTGCTTTGTGGGGTATTTGGGCGGATCATCAATGTTTTACATACGATAATTCCATGATTTGCCGTATCTGTGAAGTTGAAATACCAGTTGTACATGTAGAAGAGCACTCTCGAATATGCACGATCGCTGATAGATGTGACTTGAAGGGAATAAATGTAAACTTAAGACTTGAAAGAGTAGCTGAAAGTCTTGAGAAAATTCTGGAGTCATGGACGCCAAGGAGCATCGGAACCCCGAGAGCAGTTTCTGATAATGCAAGATTATCAACATCAAGTAGACATGAAGATCTTGATGAAATCTCTCAAAGATGTTCAGATGACATGATTGATTGCGTTCCTCGTTCAGAGAATATATATTCTTTGGATGAACTGAATATCTTGAAAGAAATCAATGAAGCAAAGGAGTCATCGGCAGGAAGTTTGACACCACCATCACCAGCAACACCAAGGACAAGTCAAGTGGATTTGCTACTAAGTGGCCGAAGAACATTAACAGAGCTTGAGAATTATCATCAGGTGAATATTTACATTCTATCCGAGCCATTCATTTTGATCATGGGGAAGTAGACTTTCTTGCCTTCAAATTGCAAGTGCGTGAATTCAACATTAACACGCCAATGAATATTGTCACAGTGTCGATTTCTAGCTCGATGTTACTAGATTTATGCTGCACTTAACACAGCCAATGAATATTAGCCAATGAACCTCTCATTTGCTTCTTTTTGTATTTCAGCTGCACTTTTCAACTTCTCATCGTTTATCCTTTTTTCAGATAAACAAGTTGCTAGAGATTGCTCGCTCTGTGGCAAATGTAAATTTATGTGGATACAGTTCATTGGACTTCATGATTGAGCAGTTGGATGAGCTAAAGTACGTCATTCAGGATAGGAAGGCAGATGCACTCGTGGTAGAAACGTTTGGAAGGCGCATAGAGAAGCTACTGCAGTAATCATTTTCACTTATCCTCTGTTTTGCTTCTCACTACGTTTTGAACTGCAAATTCAGTCAGGCTGATTTCTTGTCTCAAAATTCCAGGGAGAAGTACATTGAACTTTGTGGATCGATAGATGATGAAAAAGTAGACTCATCAAACGCCATGGCGGATGAAGAAAGTTCAGCAGATGATGATACAATTCGTAGCTTACGAGCAAGCCCACTTAATCCACGCGCTAAAGATCGAACATCAATAGAAGATTTTGAAATTATAAAACCAATCAGCCGCGGTGCATTTGGAAGAGTATTTCTTGCAAAAAAAAGAGCAACCGGTGATTTGTTCGCCATAAAGGTTTGTGTTACTGGCATAATACTCTTCCAGCTTGGCTCTAGGACTTTGTTCTTATCGTAATCCAATGTTGTCTAATTCATGGTACAGGTGTTAAAGAAAGCTGATATGATCCGTAAGAATGCTGTTGAGAGTATTTTAGCGGAGCGTAACATCCTTATATCAATTCGTAACCCATTCGTGGTATGTAATGTCCGCAATGTATAAATGCCCTGATAAATACATTTGTGGAAAAAATGTGGTGCTTTCTCTAATGCTTCTTTTAGCTGTGCAGGTCCGGTTTTTCTATTCTTTCACATGCCGGGAAAATCTTTATCTGGTCATGGAGTACTTGAATGGAGGAGATCTCTTTTCCTTGTTGAGAAATCTTGGCTGCTTGGACGAAGACATGGCCCGCATTTATATTGCAGAAGTTGTAAGACTCATTTTAACACCTCAGGAGTTGTTCAATCTTTTTGTCCGGATTAAGACTTAACTCTACACAGGATAGAAATTGAATTCAGTCAAATGTATTTTTCAGGTGCTTGCACTGGAATATTTGCATTCTGTACCTATCATTCACAGAGACTTAAAGCCAGACAATTTGTTGATCAATCAGGATGGTCACATCAAGGTCAATCTTTATCAATTTTGAGTTTTGCGTTATGCATCCAGAATCGATGAGAGACCACATTTCTCACAAAATCTATTCCCTTGTAACACAGTTGACAGATTTCGGGCTTTCCAAGGTTGGTCTTATCAATAGCACAGATGACTTATCAGGTGAATCATCATTAGGAAATAGTGCATTTTTCGCAGAAGATGGAACAAAATCTCAACAATCACAAGACAAAGATAGTCGTAAAAAACATGCAGTTGTTGGAACTCCTGATTATCTTGCACCTGAAATACTTCTGGGAATGGGTCATGGTTAGTATTTCACAATGGGAATTTACCTTTTTGTTTCCATGGATCATGTACTTATTTATTACTCATTACAGGTAAAACCGCTGATTGGTGGTCAGTAGGTGTTATTCTCTTTGAGGTTCTCGTCGGTATTCCTCCTTTCAATGCAGAAACCCCACAGGTATATTTTCCAGCTGAACTCATATCAGGAGTAGACATCATTCGACCCGCTTTAACATTTTTTTTGCATTCATGGGTTTGCAGCAAATTTTTGAAAATATAATCAACAGAGATATACCATGGCCTAATGTACCAGAGGAGATATCTTATGAAGCCTATGATCTGATCAACAAGTAAGATCACACACTTTTTGCAAATTACTCTCATATACTTCATCTCTTTCTCCCATTTTCTGTACCTATATGCCTTAAATCGATCAAAGTGAAACAAGAACCTGTTGATTGTGGTAACATTGTCTACTTATGTCCTTGATTCAGGCTATTAACTGAAAATCCTGTCCAAAGACTAGGGGCAACGGGAGCTGGAGAGGTAAAACTCTAATAGATCATCTCGTAGCTAAACTTTTTCGACTTTTTCTTCTTAGATCTCTGAAAAATCTCCTGACAGGTGAAACAACATGCATTTTTCAAAGATATTAACTGGGACACGCTTGCCAGGCAAAAGGTTCATATCCATATTCTGAAAACAAATAATAATTTCCTTGAGAAAAGGAATCTCTTACTAACTTCAACATTTTTTATCTGATTGTTACAGGCTATGTTTGTACCATCAGCAGAACCACAAGACACAAGTTATTTCATGAGCCGATATATATGGAACCCGGAAGACGAAAATGTTCATGGAGGCAGCGATTTTGATGACCTTACAGACACATGCAGCAGCAGCTCCTTCAACACACAGGAGGAAGAGGTCTGACTTCTCTTTTAGTCTTTTCTTTACTTCCATTGCTCGAGACCAAATTTAGTGTTACCATCTGAGTTAAAACTCACAGAATCGTACGCTTTAAGTTTTATAATAAATGTTTATGTTGTAAAACAGGGTGATGAGTGTGGTAGCTTAGCAGAATTTGGAAGTGGACCGAATCTTGCTGTGAAGTATTCTTTCAGCAATTTTTCTTTCAAGGTCAGTTAAAATCCTAACGCTCTCTCTCTCTTTTGCCTCTACTTTTGAATGCTTATACCTTTGACAATGCTTTTTTTTGTTATCAGAACCTCTCACAACTGGCTTCGATCAACTACGATCTTGTCCTTAAGAACGCTAAGGAATCAACAGAATCTTCAAACCCATCAGCCCCTTGAACAAACCGGGGGAAAAAACTAGCTCTATAACCCGTAATATGTAATGAGCATCTACCTCAAGAGCTGATTGTTTCTGGTTCAAGCCGTTGTTGTTCTCTTCTCCTTCGGGCAAGAAAAGCATAGCATTAGATAGGAAGCAAAAGAGCTATATAGATTTCATAACTGAAGGCAAAAGATTCTTTAAGATTACTACTCTCTCTGTCTCTCACTCTCACATGTGTATACAAAGGTAACAACTCTGATTTTCGTAGTTGTCTACAAATGATAACCATTAAACTTATTTCGAGGAGTTTCTTGAGATTCTTTCTTCAGCAGAATCGACTCAAGAACCCCTTTAAGCAGCTGGTGAAGAAGATTGTACCAATCTTCAACGTTCCTTACTTATATAAAGATTTATACTTAAAAATGCCAAGACTTTGCTCCTTGCTCTTTTTAGACAAGAAACAAAGTTTTCACATATAAAGTGTTACGCACGTTTTATTGTTGATCAGGAAAATAATCAAAATACTATGTATTATTCGTTATATCGGTCCAAACTACATGAACCTTTAACCTACGGCCTAATTAAACAAACTTTTTAATCTCTAATCATCGAAGCATCCAAATTCTAAATCTTCGTATCCCAAATCTCCATACTTCAACCACAAAGACGACGAAGAAGAACATGATGACGTAATGTCGCCGGACAATAACATCGTAAGCTCTCCGGCAACACCTGCTCCTCCTCCGTCATTCTCCATTAAAAAGCTCCACGGTTGATCATCACCGTCCACGTCAGCCAACTGGTTCACATTTCCTGATGCTGACGTGTCATTATGCAAAACCAGAGGTACTTCTGACTCAGACCGTGGGTTTTGACCGTTTACCAATATCCTCTCTTCCTCTTCGTTGACTTTCTGTTGGTCAAACGGGCGATGTGTGTTTGGATCAATACCCATTCTTATAAGCTTCCTCTTTATATGAGTGTTCCAATAATTTTTAATGTCGTTGTCTGTTCTTCCCGGTAATTCTGTTGCAATCTTCGACCATCTAAACCCATAATTATATACATTGCTTTAGAATATTTGACACTATAAAAAAGGGAAAATAATGATCAATATTAACGATTGGTTTTCAGTTAGAAGTTTATGATTGTTAATTTAGTAACAACAAAAAAAAAAGAGTTTATGATTGTTAAAATGATATTATATAGTCGGTCTTATTTG